TGGACATCATATACTTAGCTTTTGTTCTACTAATTTTTGTTAAGAACAAAGAATATATTAATCTACTGTTATTTAGATGTATCCAATAATCTGTTTCCACGTGTCCTGCATCACATTATTAAGGTGCTATATATATGTGTACAGGGGAACGTTGTGATGTATGAAAAACATAATAATACATTTCCTTTTCTTCTTCATTTACTGTGTTGCTCTATCTCTCTTTCTCTGTATATGCATTTCTACAATTTTGAGCCAGCTATTTTCTAATTATTTTGTCTATTATTCGAAAGTTTGACTTATTTTTGTGATGTCTCATCAATTAGAGTTGTCATTTGCAGTATGCATACACTTAGACAACTCAATTTGAGGATCTATTATAAGCATTTCCATTACAAATACAAAAAAAAATATTTGACTAAACGTTGATTCTTGATGTAATCATACTATAATTGACATCACTCCCCAAATATTTTTAATTTTAATCAATCCTTCATCAGATATACTTTTAATAACTTTAATATGCCGTTGACATACATTTTTTTTGCCTTAATAGCACTAAACTATTTATCATGATACTAGATCATAGACCTTGTCAAGATAAAAAAAATAACATGAAGATTTTTATTTATTCTCTGTATTTTTTACCTCATGAATTTCTTGTGTTCTTTATTTTTTGTGACCTGGAGGGCAGCTATCAAAGATCATTTATTTACTTCGAAATTGTTTATTTTAGGTATTCTATATGGATTGATAGCAAAATGAGACTACAGACTGACCCAATGCTTATTCTCGAGTATTTCTTATGGAGAAAAAAATCAGAATATGCCATTTCAAATCATTATGATCGCCACTGTGTCTGGGAGGAAGTTGATCAAAACAAACGCTTGAATAAGTACAATCACAGTGCCATTGATGAGCAGTTTCAGTATTATCAATCTGATGGTCTCGTCAAGTTTAATGAATCAGACTCGAGTGCTCCTCTTCCAAGTTGTATGTGGTATTTCGCTTTATCCTTATTGGAATTATTTTCCCATTGATCTTCCACTGATTGAGTTTTCATTATTGTTTTTCTAGATGTTCCAGAGGGTTCCTTTATTGTGCGCGCTCATACACCCATGTCCAATTTGTTTTCTTGTCTTTGGTTCAATGAAGTTGATCGTTTCACATCACGTGATCAGTTGAGCTTTGCGTACACTTTCTTGAAGTTGAGGAGAATGAATCCTGGAAAACCGTTTTCTCTGAACATGTTCAAGGTAAGTTGTATGCCTTGTATGCGTCTTTGTAAGCTTTAATGACTTGATATGGAGAAGTTTGGGTCATGGTCTCAGAGCTCCTACAACAACAACAACAATCCTTTATCCTACTATGGGGGGTCGGCTACATGAATCATTTTTTCCTATGTTCATGTTAAGAGTCAAATTCTCATCTAAATCTAATAAAGAAAGGTCATGTATAATATTTTTTAATCAAGTCTTTTTAGTTCTATCTCTACCTTTCTTAACATAAGTCAAATCTAATACATCTACTTTCCTAACGGGATCATTAGAAAACCGCCGTTTTTTGTATGAACAAACCATCTAAGGCGGCTCTCTCTAATCTTATATTCGGCTGAAGCTATTCCAACCTTTTCATGTATATGCTCATTTCGTATCCTATCTCTAAGAGTAAAGTCACTCATCCACCTAAACATCCTCATCTCAACAACACTTAACTTAATATTATGCTTCTCTTTTAATGGCCAACATTCTGCACCACAAAGCGTTGCAGGTCTCAGAGATCCTACTTCCCTAAATTTAATCAACAGGAACCACTTGCGGAATGCAATGTTCGCTCCGGAAGAGTAGGATTGTTTCTTCTTCATAGATGCATATTCTATTTTTCATCACTAATGGTTAATTAATGCATTTTATTGGATTCTATTATCTCATTGTTTTGACTTGATACTAGAGTAGTTTGCTCTAACATCCGTTTCACATAAAATTTCTACTTCATTTTCCTTTGTTTTTAATAAAATGTAACACTGAGAGTGTGTTCGGTATTGTTACTCCTCATCTACTGAATGGGAGGCCTGGGGCTCGACTCTAAAAAACATAAATGTTCAGAAAACGGTTCATGAAATAAATGATGGTTCACAATACATCTTCTTACCAACTTTATTTTAGAAAATATTCGGAATTAGATTTCTTTCAAATAACTGAACTCATTACTTGCTAGTCCTCCTCGTCCCCTCTTACCTCTTGCTTGATTTGATCCTTAACATCATATGAACAGTTAGACCGGTCCAGCTGGTCCATACGGGACCGGCCCTGGCGAATAGAGGTGGAAGTCTCCGCCTCCTGTACGTGATGATCAAGCCGCCCAATTCAGAGGAATTGATTAGGAAGATTTTAGGAGAAGTTTTGGAGGGAAATTTGAATGTATGGACTATTTAGAATTTCCTTTTGAATTGTATGCATTAAATAGTTTGTTTTCCTAGGGTTAGGCATCTTGAATTTGACTGAAATTTGAAATCTCTTAGTTTCTTTGGACTCTAGCGGCATCTTGAGATTTGGGAGAGATAAATCCTCCCCTCGAACAGAGGATCAATTTTATCTTAGTATTTTCCGTTTCTATTTCATCAAATAATACAAATTACCTACTGTTTTCCGGGGAATTTTGTGGAGAATTCTCGCTGTTTTCCAAAGATCGCTAGAAAATTCTCAAGATCTTCAATCGTTACCTATCAAATGCCTAAATCATTTATAACAAATAAATATTCTCTCTAAGTGAAAGTATTTTTTTTCATTGGCTGGGGTGCTCTATTGAATTAGAAAGTACAGTATGAACTTGTTTTTGATCAGCTATATTTTATTTCTTATTCTTGCCATTGTTATCACCTATCCTATCCGATGTTGGACAAATGTCCTGTTTCTAATCTTAAAGTCCATCCATCATTAATCCCAATTAGTCCCCTTAAGAGGAAATTACCTGATTAAATTAATAGATTAGCAGATATGTTAATATTCACAGAATATGTGTTGCAGGACTGTGAGAGGAGAGCTATGGCTAAGATATTCCACCATAGAGTGGAAAATACATCCTCTCCAGGTACTTCGACAATTTTGTAGATCATCCAGGTATGAAATATCTAAAGCTCTGACAAACTTCTGCATTTATTATGGGCAACTTCCATTGCTGAATCAATCAGAAATGCTATTTCCCCTTGCTGCTACTTTGTACTACTATATTTTTGTAGCCTAAATATATCAATGGCCTGATTAATATCATTTCATTCTTTCAACCTGTATCATACTTGTGACTATTTACGTTTCCTTTTTTTCAATTGTTATATTGATTTGATCTTAATGAACACGATCAATAATGGACTAGGGGTGTCAATTCGGGTCAACGGGTCGGGTTCGGGTCGAACCCGGAACTGACCCGGCACTATTCGGATCAACCCGAACCCAACCCGTTTTTAAAAACGGGTCAGATTTCCGGACCCAAACCCGACCCGATTCTGGTCCGGGTCAACCCGATCCGACACGAATGACCCGAAGTTGACCTAAAATTGCTAGTTTTCGGGTCAAAATCGGGTCAATC